AAAAGATATCCACGTTTTTAACAAAAAAAGTGTTACTTTTTATATAGATTTTAAATTACGTGGTATAAGACAAGCCAGCCACGTCTGCGCTTTTAATTTTAATATTTTTTATTTAACAAAATAGAAAAGTATTTTAAATTTATGACCTCTAATGTAGTATTCTTTATTGTTAGATGCAAATTGTAAAACACCTTTTTTTTCTCAAGAACAATTTCAAGGCGGAGCGCAAATCAAATAAATTACTGGAGAGTTTATTATCAAATTAATTTAAAATTATTATAAAACATATTTATCATGTTTTAAACACTCACACTCACCGACACAATTTGAAAATTACTATATATAAATTCTTATTGATCAATCGAACTGGATTGTTTACAAATCGGGAAGTTCCTGCAACTTGCCATAAGGCAAAAAGCCACTTACGTACATCTAGTCTATTTCTTTTAAAATATTAATGTTCCTTCTTTTGAATTCAATATTGAGTACGTCGTACATTATTTATTAGCGATTAATTATAATAATATTGAATGGTAGATACTAGATATATGTGTAAGTTTCTAATCGAAGTTTGGAACATGTAGAGTCTTGCAGAGGTTGTGTCTTGACTATTATTGGGCATGAAAAATCGATGACCATGCAAAGAGATTCCTTCTGGCCTTAATAATTAACTAACGTTCTTCCATTTTATACCAAATTAAGTAAATTTCGGTGATTATGTACGCTACCGTACCGTCCTTTTTGAAAGAAGAACAATGCTCAGTCCATGATGCGCAAGGATAATTGTTAGAATGGTTTAAAAATCAGGTACCTTCAGTTCTTTTCTAAAGTTCTTGTACTTAGTTGTCTATTGTGTCGTCTTTTCACTGATATCATGCGCACGATTATTTCACTTAATGAACCAAAGGACACTTTTACAATTTCGTAGAACGAGAAACTTGTCTTCCTTTTCAAAAGGTTCACATACGGAGTCCCTAGATTGGTCTTGAACGCCCGAAATCGATGTGTGACGAATTACCGATGGTATTTGACAAAATTTTTAAGCGATTGTCACTGAATTTTACGGCTTCGTAGGAGGTAGGATATGCCAATGCTATGCATCATATTTTTTAGGTAATTCATTTCCTTTTTGGTAATAGAGTCATTTGTCAAATTATGTCCAGTCTTTATTTTAAAAGGCTGAGCTAGGATGACTGGGGAATTTTAGTTGAATTAATTTAATTAAGTTTTATTTAATTTATAATCCAATATTATGTAATGCTTGTAATTCCATTTGGGTTTAATTTTACTATACTGATAATTGAGTTTAGCACATAATTGCAATCTGCTTAAAAATAGAAATACGATTAATAGGAGAATATTATTTGTCTGTTATATGTATTTATTTATATACTGTGTTATAAAAATGTATATATTATTTATTTATATACACTGTTTTACAATTTTGAATTATTAAGGTAACACGTTAAAGGCCGTGCCAGTGGTATGTGTCTGAAGCCTTACGTGAGCCGTCATATATATGTGACAAAAAATAGTGATTTTGGTTAATTAAGTGAATTATTACACATATCGGGGAGTTTATGCAACTTGCCTTAAAGAAAAAAATGCATAAAGCGTACTTAAAAGTTATTTGCAATATATTCAAAGCCTTCTTTCATAATTATTAATTTTATCTAAGCTATTTTGATGACATTTTGAACATATTAAACTTGTGCAATCATTATTTTTTTAAATAAATTTACTTTTATAATTTTTATTTATTTCATCTAAATGTATTTCATCTGAGATATTTTTTTGACATTTTGGGCAAATTATTTTTAGTTTATTTGTTAAAATAAATATAATTTACTACCAAAAAACCTTTAAAAACCATGAGTCGCCAGGAATAGTGTTTGATAATTAGATAGCCATCTCAATCAATAATGATCCAATTAACTGAATATCTAGTCAAACGATTAAAATGATATTTCAAAAATTCCTTTGCAGCTAACCCATTGTACGAGATTCTAAGAGACACAACGACATATCATTTTGAAAAATTTTCATTAACAATTGTAATCAAAATTTTGTACAAAAATTACAAATATTGACGTGTGTTCTTCTAATCAAATAATAATGAAATTAAATAATTTTCAACTAATTCACTATAGTAGATATGTTTATTAGATATTTTTCTGAAATTTGTCATCTGTTTTTTTAACCCATGGGCAGAGTAAAAAGGAGTCGCAAGGGAGCATAAAAAATACTTATTTTTTATTAGAGAGATTTTATGAAATAGTTACTGTAATCATCATTTAATCAATAAGATGCAGTTTATTTATTATTAGATTGAACAACAAATCTGAAAATCATAATCCAATTTTGCTAATCTAATTTAAAAATAACAATACTTCTTACAAAACAAAATTTATATTCAGGTATTTTGAACAACAATGCTTAAAACTAAAAAAACCAATATGCAAATTCATAAAGCCAATAAAAAAACTAATAACAAAATAAAATTATTTCGTTTATCTCGTGATACCAATGTCGCACGATGTTCGGTCACACATCTTTTGTTCTCTACTTTAAAATAGTATTGTTAAACATTTTCAAACTTAACTTGTTTTTGAGATAATCATTGTGGTTCCTTAGTACCCGCGGACCTTTTAGCCCCGCTCTAACCTATATCTAGAATCTCCCTCGACTGTTTTCTATAATGCGCGCCCGCAGTTTCGAAAGTTCATCACGCATTAAATTTTAAAACACAAATTATGTTTCAAATATAGATATTACAAAAATGATCACATTATTATGTTTCTATATAAAGTAGTAATGCTTAACTACAGTCAATTAGACAAATTAATAATTAGTGGTATTATGAGAGAACAGAAGGTCTCATAGTGGTTCGGGGGTCAAAACGAATTAAATATACTTAGAGACCAATGATTCTCAAAGTGATGAATTGTGTCATTTTTAATAAAATATCAATCATCATATATTTATTAACTTCCCGTAGGGTAAGTTATTGTAATCGTCCAAAAATCGAAATTGATTTTTTTTGCATATCCTCGCGTTTTGAAAATTTCTGAACATTTTGGTGTACCTTAGAAAAAAATGATATGTGTGTGTGTATGTATGTATGGATACAAATTTTCGTCTACGTTTTCGGGGAACTGATCAACCGATTTGAATGATTAAAAAAAAACATTCATTTACCATTGATCGGAAGATGTGCTAATTGGTTTTTGGCAAAAGTCGGTCCAGACGTTTTGGAGTTATGAAGCAAAGAGTGCAGAAATAAAAATTAATCGATTATCGATAATCGATAAAAATGAGTCATTGTTGTTTTTAATTATTGATTCAGTTAATATTTAACAAGAATACATATAGTTAATGATTATAATTTTATTTAAAATATTTTGATAAAAAATATGAATCTTAATGCTTATAAACTTACTACAAAAAATTATCATAACCTTACAATTATGGATACATATATTAGAATCTAGATCAACAAATAAAAATTCATTACAATTATACAATAAATACAGATAAATATTTATAAGGATTTAAATCAACCATCAAAAATTAATTTTTCTAATCATACAACAATTACAGATAAAATACAATATTCTGAACAAAAATATAATGAACAATTATGCATTTGATAGAATTATTTATCATTATACATACATCGTTTTTAATTCAATAATTGACGGTGAATGCAATTGAAACTAGTTGTCAGTAGCATTTTGCCTTAAGCCAAGTTGCATAAACTTTCCGATGCGTATTTAAAATCAGTTTAATTAATGGAATTGAGCTATTTTGGTAAAATGTTCGACCGTTATTTCGAAAATAAAATATTTGCTTCTCAATATGATTTCCAATCGATTTTCTTCAAACATACTATAATATCTGTAATCCTATAAATTAATTAGTTCACATGTTTCTTTTCAACTATTTTGTGTTATTTTATGTATTTTATTTTAGTTTGGACGTAAACTGCAATCAGTAGCTACCTACGAATAACCACGCAGAACGTACATGTGCTTTTTTTCAGTATTGAATTACAAACTTTATTAGTATACGAGCAACGCGATTTCTAACCAAACTTTGTTTTTAAGTTTTAATATATATATAAAATTGATTCAAAATTGTGGGTGAAAATTGTACGATTTTTTCATTATAACCACGCAGAACGTACATGTGCTTTTTTTCAGTATTGAATTACAAACTTTATTAGTATACGAGCAAACTTTATTAGTATACGAGCAACGCGATTTCTAACCAAACTTTGTTTTTAAGTTTTAATATATATATAAAATTGATTCAAAATTGTGGGTGAAAATTGTACGATTTTTTCATTAGTTACGTTAGTCCTACTTCTCGAACTACATCGAATGGCTTCTAAATTTTTTAAATTGGTCTAGCCGTTGTTGAGAAACCGTTGGCGAAAGGTCAAAAATTGGTTCAAATTTACACAATCATACATACTTTTTTCAAATTTGGTTTTATTCGATTTAGAATGACTTGAAATGTCGAGAAAACCAAAAAATTGAAAATCGAATTTTTCCGCAAAAGCAAACTTTTCCTTCTGGAAACTAAAAAACATTTTTGTCTTTTAGAATTAAAGATTCTATTGTTTATAATGTTTGGTAGGGCTCCAGTAGTGTCTAAAAAGTCTCGTGTCCCATTTTTCGACAATGGTTTAAGAACAGGATGTTCTGATACGTCTAACTAGTGGCTCATAGATGCTCCCATCGTTTATTCGAAATTGATATGGAATTCTATAAAATTTATTATACATAAACATCGTTTAGTTCTCAGATCTGTATCTGCATGAAATACAGAATCTACTGAATTCAGAATCTACTGAAGAATTATTATGAAGTAAATTATATGTATGTGGTAATTCTTTAACAAGATCAGTAAAATTAAAATTTGTTTACGAAACTCTTCTGTACTATCTATACACTACCATATAAAAGAGTATTATATATATTAGTCTTCATTTCTCTTCAGTCTTCAATTACTGGTTTATAATCTGGCAAAATTTCCCACACTTTATTTCTCCATTTATTTTTCCGTCTTTCCCGCTGACGTTCTATTTCATTCAAAGATGGTAACAAACGCCATGTATCGATTGATCGCCACTTTAATTGCCTAGAGTATTGATTTATACATTTATTTATTGATTTATTAAATTATTTTAATAAATATAATACCTTTCGTAGTGTAGTTGCGCTATATAACATTTCTTATCTCTTTCAATAATTAGCTTTTTTGTAGCTTCATTCCAAGCAGCAATCACTCTGCTCAATATACGTAAGTTATACCAATCTTCAGCAACAAAGGATTTACTCTGCATTTCTAAGTGAAACTGAAATACGGTTTTGTTATTTAACTTGTTTAATATATCAGTTCCGCTTCTATAATAATATAAAATACTAATTAACATAGTTTAGTATAAATTGCACCTGGTACCACTGCTTAAACCAAATTTGTAGTTGTCTACTTCTATTGAAATTGTCCGCTCTCACTGCCTTATTGGAAGTTATTTCATCTGTGTTTAAAGCCCATTGTGCAAATATACGCTTCAAAAGATTATGCCTGAAATTAGAAACTGATCAAAATCGAGAGATCAGAAGTGATGAGACTGTTTGGATAAGCGATTACTTTAAATATATTGAACTGTAATAACAATTTGAATCATTATTTGTTAATAATTGCAAAACGCGTTGTTAGTTATTTGTAGGTTACGCGGTCATCATAAGTGCTTCCTGTTATATTTTGTAATTAGGTTGCCAACAAGAAATTAGTATATAAGAGTTAGACAAAAGTTAAACAGTCAGTCAAACTTAGAGTCATACTCGGAGACAGGCATAGAGTTAGTCAGACATACTATTCAGTAAAATGTTGTCTTTGCTGATATGATAACCAAAAGGTTATCAACAAATATTGATTGTAAAAATAGTGAATAATAAAAGTATCATTCACAGAAAGAAGTGTGTTTACAAATTACTATCAAATCGCTGTTCGTCCTGAAGGCCTTTCACAATACCAGTGGACCCTGGAGAGTCCACATCACAAATATAATACTTCAACAACTATTCAGCTGTTCACCGCTCGGCTCCAGCCTACCATTACAATTCCTGGTCGTACTGGTGATCCAGAACATACATCCAAAGGCATTACCAACAACACCAGGACAGTTTAATATATTCGAAAAGTAAATTTTTAAACGGCTCGATGAAGATCAGAGCAAATATCACCATCTTTATAAATAAAGAATAGATGCTACTGATTAACAAACTAAGTTTCGACTTGCTAAGAATGTGGTGATATTTGAAGTATGGCTCTACGTGTATGCCGACAAAAATTACTTCGCGAACTTCAGGTTGTAGTGCTGAAGACGAATCGGAAAGACAAAATGGTTCTTCATGGTAGAGTTTAGTAATGAGGAAGTACTAAAAATCTTTAGAGAAGAAGTAACTCACCTGTAATGTTCTTTAGATAAGAGCATATCACATCGTTTTATCTCCACTACTTTTTTGAGTGGCATTAATCCATATCTCCACAATAGAACTTTCTTGTAATGCTGATCAGCAGATTGTTCGCAGAGCTTAATTCGGCGTCGTTCCATTTCTAAACATCGCTGCTTTTCCTGCTCTTCTTCGCGTTTTCTTCTTCTTTCTGCTATGCGCAGCAATTTCGCTTGCTGATCTTCCTCCAACTAGGAAAAGTAAGTTTAGTAAATTAGTAAATCATCTTTTCCAATTGATTAAAATATAAGATATTATGAGTGTATCACTTTAATCTGTTCTTCTCGTTCTTTAGCCAATCGAATTTCCTCTTCTCTTTGCTTCCTTCGTTCTTGAGTTGCTTGATGCCTCAGTTGCCTCTGTTGAGCACGAAAATTCATGGCCTGGAGGAACGCCGGTGCTGGTTGCGATACCAAAGCAATCGCAGCCGGATCGAAATGTTCTGCAGCTATAAGTAGAATATCAGTAAATTTGAATATATTAGCTAGGTGTACGCGAATATTATTGATTGGTGAGAATATTTTGTCTAACCGCAGGTTTTGTTGATTTTTTTTTTGTTTAATGAGATTTGTTGGTTTGGATATATTTTGTGTAGTGCCAACCTGAATTTTGCTCTTCCAACATTGTTGTTCTGTTTACTTCAATATTTAGGTAGACATTTGCCCTCATTTTTGGTTTAGTCTTATTATTACAACGTGTTGCATCTATATAATCTGCACAAGCTTGCTTCACGGATTCCTTTGCCGCAACTGCTAAGCTTTTTGCTTGAAGTTGCTGTATAGTACGTTCCTGCTCAAGAATTCGAGCTTTTTGTTGAACAATCATGTCTTGTTGTACTGCAAATCTGAAAAATGTTATAGATTAGTTTTATGCTATCAATGCAACTGTGTGGCTGTATACCTATTTTTATATTGCGTACTCAATGGCGCACTTGTAGACTTCTTCTTTTTCATTTTAAAGTCCAAATCTGAAGATTTTAATAACTCTGAACTTTTAGAAAACTTACTTAATGACTTCTTTCTTTCATTCAACTTTTTTAAAAATATATCAATTTTTTCAACCATATTTGATTGTTCTTCTATTTCATCATGCTTATTTTTAACATTTCTTGAACAATAAGATTTCCATTTATTGAATGCTTTTAGTTTTAGCTTATTTTGGAGTTCGTTTTGAAAATCTATTTTTATTTGCTGGTGATTATTTTCTTGTGACAACTCTGTACATTTAGATGTTACACAAATATCGTTGTGGGGTTTTAGAGAAACAGAATCTATCACTAAGTCAATTGCCTTACATTCGAACCGTTTTTGGAGTTCAATTTCTTTACAGAGTTTTGTTGATTGTTTTTCGGAGTCATGATGTTCTATATCTTGAACAAAATACTCTGAAGTTTCTCTTTGAATTGTTTTTAATACCTCAGTTTTAGTTTCTTGTATTGTAGATGGTTGAATGGTATTAGCTTCTACATTAGAATGTACCTCAGACGATTTATAGTTATTTTTTTTGTCATAGATATAATTTTCATCACTTGCATCATACAGATATTGTATATTTGCATTAACTTCTTCAGGATATTTTGAATTTTCTATTATTAGAGGATGAACTTTAACTTCATTTAGATCCGATTTTGTGACTTGATTTTTTACATCGTTACTATTTAAGACACTCTCCATAAGTATACGATCGAATTGTGATTCTTTGCATTCATTTAAATCATTACAATTGTTGCTTTTCGTGATATTAAATCGTGATAAGGAATTTAAAGGAGAACTGTCTCTAATTGTAAGTCTTGTATTTTGAAACAGTGGCTGCTGTTTACCATATAATCCATCTGGTTCCCACTCTTTAGTTTTACTTTTGTTTTGCATTACAACAGAATGTCGAGTTATATCTTTTTTAATCTGGTTTAATTCTCGGTCTATAGTTTCAATCTGATGCTGACGATATAATTTTTGAAGTCTTTCTTTGCGCAAAGATCTGTACAGCAGAAATATTGTTAATTCATCAACATATAAAATATTTAAACATGTTACCATAATAATATGTAGCACAAAACCTTTTGGCCTCAGAAACAATATCCACATTTCGACTAGTATCTAAATTATTATAGTTATTAAATCTCCAAGCCTAAAAAAAATAAAATAATAGATCCAATAATTACTGCAAGCAAAAATAAAAAAGTTTATATACCTTTTTTAAGATTTACTTACTTCTTTGTGCCTGCCTTCCATAACGGCAACAGGATTTTGGATAACACATTCATTTTTAAATTATTTAGTTTTTTTTCTGGTATAAAGTCCGACTTCAACAATGTTTTAGCAATTGTACCTAATTTTTTGTTACGACAATTAAAATTATATTTATCTTTTTTTGCAACTTCAACCGAGTCATTATTTTCTTCATTCAATAAATGATCTAAATTTATATCAAGAATTATTTTATTAACATCATTCTCCATTTTCCCACATATTTATAGCTTGATATGAAGTCTATGAAATCTACATTTATTTACGGCCGTTACTATGGTGAGTGATAATCAACGTAAGTTTGGGGAGTCATGCCGATGTATTTTTTTAGAAGTATTGCATATTTAAATTCTTTTGCAAATCATAACGGTCTTAATGTAATTACACATTTATATGTAGAGAAATATATTCTTTTGAATACAGCGCGCTTTAGTTAATATATGAACCCATTACCATGTAAGCCAAATACTGCTACATTTACAATCTTTCGTATTTATTATATCAAGACTACGTGGATGATACAATACTAAGATTAAATTTTTTACAATTTCTTATATCTATTCCATACTATAGTGTGCAATATAATTGTTGAAAACTTCAAATATTGTTGACTACAAATGATTGAATTTTAGAACACAATCTTTATTATCAGAATAAGTGCATTATTCAAATCCAGGACTGTTCCAGTTTTTAACAGTAGAATGCAACATTGAATAACTGAAAACTTTTAGATCACATAATTTTGCTACTCAAACAAAGCTATTTTTTTAAAAAAAGATAAAGCATAATTGTGGTAATATTTTTTATTAAATGTGATGGCACGCACTTATTATAAAAATGTACAAAATAAATATGTTATAATAGTTATTTTCTTAGGCGGCGACCATTAATCACGTGATCAATTTTTTAAGAATTTTTGGATCCATCTTCCCCTTTAGTGACACGTGGTGATATTCAAAACTACCCTCCCTCACCAAACATAACGTGTATTTTTAGTTATGAGAAAAAATTATAACATTTTTTATTTTTTTTGAAAATGTTTGTATTTAAAAAAAAAAATCTTTACTCTGGGAGGATACATACATTTTCTTGATTTTATTTAAAGGCTTTTTCTTATCAACTAGTTCTTTGCAATCCCTGCAATTCCTTTTAATAAGCTAGTTTTAATATCTCGTTTTATTTTTCTTCTCCTCCAACTTTGATCTTTTTTATACTGTATAAGATGAACAAAGTCAATAATATATACACTGGCACAAATAAGGACTTCGGCCTCCTCACAATTGTTATTGTAATGCTCTTCTAACTCAGCGCTTTTTCGCTCGTTGAACTGCCACCAACCACCTGTGTAAAACAAGTGTCGCAGTTAATAAATAAAGGCAATACTAGAAATCATTTATAGAATAAAAGATAAAAGACAAATCAGTGATTTTTGTTGTAGGGACGCATTTGGTATATTAAATATGACAAATGACGGTTGAATTATGTTAAAATTATAATATACATATTATATATATATATATACATATATATATATATACATATATATATATATAATATATATATATATATATATATATATAAAGAATTATTTACTAACCATTTCTCCCTTTATAAAACCATTGATAACTATCAGGAACGGGTATGTATGCTCGACATAAAGCGCACCTATTATTTTGAAATGCTACTCCCTAAAATACACCAAATCTACTTAATAAACAGTATTATTATTGATTACAAACTATTTGATACTTTATTACCTTAATGCAAAGAAAGCAAAATATGTGTCCACAAGGCAAGCGGGCTGGGTGAATACAAGTTTGTAAGCAAACCGGGCATTCTAGAACTCCTGTGGAAAATCAAGTGTGATTTATATTTATTATAGTGATTATATATTAATTTATCTATACCTTCGTTTTCTGGCACTGTGCTGTCGTCCAAACAAATCACTTCAAGAGAATTACCTTGAGCCATGGTATTAAATTTTTGGCTAAATACACGGCTCTAAACGGCTTATTATATTGTCTAGGTCAGCGATGTCCAACCTAAATTACTCTTGGGCCAAAATTTAGGAATATACAAGGCACTGGGCCGCAACAAATCTGGAAAAACTCCGTGTGAAAAACACCCGTGTTAAAACACGGCTCTAAAACCCGGAAAAACATTATTATTGAGTAATGCTTCAATCAATGTTATGTGTGAGTCTAGCTTGAATGAAGATATTCTAGCTTTATCTAATGTGATTACTGATGAATTTACATTAGAAAAGAAAGTAGTAGTTTACTTCATCTTCAAGTTATTACATACATGACTGGCTTCATTTCCAGGAAAATGTTGAAAAATGTTAAATCTTGCTTGATGTGCAAGACTCATATTTTGGCAACAAAAAAGAGTGGAGATGATTATTGGTTAATAAGGGTTAGGGATCGGACTGGAAGATCTCTTGTCTTTCCTTGTAGAAGCTTTGTGAACATTTTTTCAAAATGCATTAGAGTTTCAGAACATTTTTTGCCTAAAATTTGTGTGAAGAATAATTTAAAATATTGCTTAGTTGCATTTTGGATAAACTTGTTTTTACTCAAAATTTAATTTTGATTGTCCAATCCATAATTTAAAGTTAATATTTTTAAACCTTTTTGTTCCTTATTTTATCAGATATTGGGTTTAATGATATTAATTCAGCACTACGCGGTAAAATAACTTTCACAAATCCTAGGAATGTTATGAAAACAAAAGCTTTATTGCGTTTTGATAAAATGAGAAAGAGACAGCTGGCAATTCGTAACACTAAGCGTGGCCTGCGCTAATTTTTGTTTTCAGCTGGTAAAGCGGCGGTTTTAGTTGGTATTATTTGTTGAGTCCAACATACCCAGACATAGGGCCTGGTCTGGGATGCGTAAATGCATTTCCTCGCTATACAAATAAAAAAAAAAAAACTCGTATATATATATACATATATATATATATATAATATATATATAATATATATATATATAATATATACATATATATATATATATATATATATATAAATATATTTCACTTAATATATTTTTTACCGCTTATGAATTCTTTTCAGTCTCATTGCAGCAAGATGACATTCGTGTGGATATTTATTATTTATTTTATTATCATTTCTAATTGTGTACCTGAATATATTATAATTTACTGATGATGATTGTATTCTATTCCATTATATTATCATTAAAACTTTCATATATTATAATTTATTAATCACTGATGATTGTAATTTATTAATACCCCACTTTTACAACCCCAATTTGTAGTAACAAATTAAAATTCAATACAAGTGTTATGTCAAGTTATGTGTGTTTTGTATTTAAACTGTAGTCATGTGTGTTTTTTCTACATTTATTGATTTGATTTGATTCCAGCATATATCATAATATATACTCTTGATTGAAATATTTTTATTATTACTTAATATATTTTTAATTTATAATTATATTTTACACAAATTTTAATACAATTGCGATGCAAAATTAAAATTCTAACAAAATTTTTAAAATTATTTTGTTTATTGATAGTACAATATTTTTAAAGTACAAATATTTTTATTTCAAATTTTAGCGCTTCAATTTGAATGACGATTGAAGCGCCATTGCAATATAGCGCGCCCGTAGCAATAACTAATTTTTTGAACCTAAATATCGCGAGAATGAAACGTCTATATTATTATATTGTCCAGGACCGGATTAATAAAGTGCTGAAACGAAAAAATCACGGTATCAACATTCAAAAAATCAGAAATTCTTCTGAGCAGGGGCACCAACAGCAGAGTATTCATATATGTCAAAACATTTCATATAATGGTCAAAACATTCGTCGAAACTGTCGAAACTTAACCTTAATTTCTATTTTGGTGTTTTGTAATAATTTTTCATTTTGTCAGAAATTTGTTGCAAATTTGTTGAAATGTTATGTTATGGTAGATTTCTTCGAAACTTTGGTCATGTCAAGATGTTATGCTTATTTATCTATGGCGCCATCTTGTTGAACTGTCAAAATAAAACTTAGCCCAACTTAGTCTTGCAGTGAGTATTCACATTTCGACAGTATTCTTTCGAAGAATCAATATAGTAAATTAAGTATATTTATTTATATTATTTAATGTATAATTTTAATTCGTTCAACGCCATATACTTCGTTTATCTTTGGTGTCAAGTACTTTTACGATTGACATTGACAGCACACCAACCTAGGCAAGTTTTTTTTTGGAAGACTGCTGACACATCTCACGTATCTATCTATGGTTCTGAATAAAATAGAAACGTCAAAATTTATTTTGCGTTTTGATATTTCATTCTTCTATTAATTCTATTTGTGCATCATTTCTTAGATTTAGTGTAGATTATATATTACACAATATATAGTAGAAAATTTTGACGATCTAAAGTAATTGAATCGTATGTGTCGTATTATAAAAATAGTAAAAGCTGTCGTGGGTGAGTCACCACATAGGATAGATAATTTTGGTTTTGGGCTAAATATTTCTATTTGTGAGATAGTTCTAAAGTCGTGACAAAGATGAGCTTTTTAGTAAAATGTTTGGTGGTGGAAAGGGTCAAAAAGCACCCACCACCGGAGAAGCCATCCAGAAACTTAGGAAACTGAAGAAATGCTTATTAAAGAAACAAGAGTTTTTAGAGAAGAAAATTGAGATTGAAATTGGTGTGCTAGAAAAATGAACCAAAAATAAAAGAGCAGCCATACAAGCTCTCAAAAGAAAAAAGCGTTATGAAAAA